CTTTCTGTTCTTCTCCCTCTTCCGAGATTCTGATCAGTTGGGTGGGCTTATTCAGCTAAATTTCTTAATCTGCAAAGCTGTGCACAAGATTCCAGACTGACTGAGTCCAGCAGTCCTGTAAGAAGGGTCTAATCTAACACCAGTAACCAGCTTTGTCTCTTTCCTTACAACAAACTATTTTGGCAGGGACCTCTTCAGGAAGAGGTGGGAACTTGGGCCTGGCCTCAAGTGATTTGGAGAAGAGGAAGAGCACCTCATACGCAGAGAGCATCATGGGTAAAGGAATGGTGCAGAGAGGGGGCATTATGTGGGCAGGGACAGGGATAAAGACACAGCCCTTGGAGAGCAGTTGTGGCACATTTAGTGACATGGGATAGACCAGCCCCCAAAGACTTAGATTCCAGCTGATCATCCCCACCCCCCTATCCTTGGGCAAGGCCCACAACATCCAGGGCTGAGAATGGGTGGAGGAATCAGAAGTCAAGCAAGGCAACTTTGGACTTGGTTGTGAGGTACCAGCTTCTCAAGCGAGGAAGTGGCCCAGGACAAGCAGTATTTAGAGCTCCTTTTTATCATTAGCAAATATTTAGTTTTAGCCTCTCTCTTGCCACCTGTCTTAGTTATCTAGTGTTGCAGTAACAGAAATACCACAAGTGAATGGCTTTAACAAAGAGAAATTTATTCTCTCACAGTCTAGGAAGCTAGAAGTCCTAATTCAGGGTGCCAGCTCCAGGGGCAGGCTGTCTCTCTGTCGGATCTGGGTGAAGGTCCTTGTCATCAGTCTTCCCCTGGTGTAGGAGCTTCTCAGCACAGGGACCCTGAGTCCAAAGGACATGCTCCCCGCCCCCCCCCCCCCGATTCTTCATTCTCGGTAGCATGATGTCCCCCTGTCTCCCTGCTTGCTTCTCTCTTTTATGTGTCAAAAGAGATTGACTCAAGACACAACCTAATCTTGTAGATTGAGTCCTGCCTCATTTAACATAACTTCCTTTAATCCTGCCTCACTAACATCATAGAGGTAGGATGTACAACACACAGGAAAATCATATTAGATGACAAAATGGCGGATAATCACACAATACTGGGAATCATGGCCTAGCCAAGTTGACACACTTTGGGGGGACACAATTCAATTCATAATACCACCCAACGTGGTTTGACTCACCTCTCCCACCAGGAGCACAGAGCATGCAAATTAATTGTATCATTACCCAGGCCAAACACAATTAGGCAAGTTAACCTGCTTTCAGTTCCATATAATGTATTCCAAAATTAAACGGAAGTTTTTTTTATTATCCAGGCCACTCTTTGCTTCTAGTAGTACGGATTTTGGAAAGTTGATGGTAATTACCCCTGAGAATCCAAAAATTGTTATTTAATCTTGCATTTTATAAGGTTCACATAAAAGGACCACTTACTTCTCAAGTCTGGTGCCTGCATGCCTTGCAGATACATGCAAATATTTTATTAGCTACCATTCCCCACTTGGGTTCCCCGAAGGATTGCAGGAAATCGGTGAACTATTCTTGCTATATACTCTAGTCTCCCATAAATTCCAACCACCATATAGTGTGATGATCAGAATAAACAAACAGAAAGGGTAATAAGGTGCACCAAATAATCACTAGTGACCTCAGCAATTTTATTACCAGATTTATTTCCCTAATTGGGTACCGTATTTCAGTGCTTGACTCAAGGCCATTGTAATAGGTTTCCACACTGCAGAAGAAGGAATTAATTAGAATTGTTTGCTCCTTGTTCCGTATTTATACTTGTCTACCAGTCTCGTAAACATTCCCCCTGGATTCCTCAGTCCTCCAGGCCTCCTCTCGCTGACTCCCCCAACCCACCCCACCAAAATAAATAAATAGAAAGCAAAGAATGTAGTTGAACGCTAGTGGCTCCTCCTCTTGGGCATTCCACCCCCACTGGAAGCTGTTTTTACGGTGGGAGCCTCTCCGTGGTCAGAATCTGGCAGAATCATCACCTCCGATAGGCTCTCAGAAGTCCATAAGGGGACCCCCCTCTCCACAGACAGAAATGGAGAGCCTGGGGTCTTGGTTTGCCAGGGCTCAGGTCTGGGACTGTCCTTGTCCATTCAGAACCTGGGGACAAAGCAAGGTAAGGCAGGCAAATTTGTCCCACTTCATCCTGCCCCACCTAAAACACCTCTTAAGAAAGTAAGAAGCATTCTTTAGCTTTGCCTGCCCTCGGAGCAGGCAGCCCTTATGAGCAGAAAACCCATGAGCATCAAGGCTTCTTCAAGTGAGGTTTTTTGCTTCACAGTTTGCGAGGACTGCAGCAGGACAACAAGACAGTATTTTTTAGATGCAAGTGCTCCAGAACCTCATTGTAATACTGGCCTCTAACTCATGCTGCACCTGTCCAGTGTTCTTTAAAATGGTGCTACTTAATACTGACTGTCCCTTCGACAAGATGCCAGGGTATGCGAAATTCCCACCAGAGCTGGTTTCTTTAGCTGCTGTTTATATAGTCTGCCATGTATAGAGATGGCTTTTGAAGCTAGATGTGATTATTACAAAGCTTAGGGGTGTCTAGGCTACCCTAGCTACCAGTAAGTCCCTTTTGAGATTTGTACCTTAGAAACATCCAGATGGGCCCAACGAGTCTCATTCCCCTTCTTGGATATCCTGCAGGATCTGGATGAGGTTTTCCAGGCCAAAAATATAGCCAGGGTCTGGTCCATCGTAGGTGGTGAGCTCATTCCGGGGGCCTTTGTATGTCGTGTGAGCAAAGTCGATCATCCGAATGTCAACTTTGGTGAGGTTTCTGGGGGAGCTGCTGAGGGCTGTCTGTGGAGCCTCTTGAGGATGCAGGCCACCTGGGGTTCTTTCTGGGGGCTCCTGCCCATCGTAGATGATGAGGAGAGAGCTGGAGTAGAACCGGTATGAGCTCTGGCTCCTAATGACCAAGAGGAGGGCCCGGAGCTGGCGGAGAATGGGCTCCAGGAGCTCTGTGCGGAGGCAGGTGCCGTTGTGCAGGAACTGATGGAGGGTTTGTCTGAACCCCTCGACGGAGAGTTTTCTTCCATAGTATTTGTCTTTGCAGAGAAAGTACTTCTTATCAGTTTGATAAACCTTACATTAAAATAAGAAAGAGAAAATGCAAACAATTGCATACTTGAAAAAACCTTGCATCTACTACAGCTGCAGCATCACAAGCTAACATGATGTATAAAACAGGTTTCCAGGAGATGTAAGACAAAACCAAAAACCAAACCCATTGCCATCGAGTTGATTCTGACTCATAGCAACCCTATGGGACAAAGTAGAACTGCCCTGTAGGGTTTCCAAGGAGTGGCTGGTGGATTTGAACTGCTGACCTTTTGGTTAGCAGCTGAGCTCTTAACCACTGCACCACCATGGCTCCAAGGGTGGCTGAAATGAATGGCAAGATGATCTTCCATCAACCAGCAAAGCAGCTTTTCCGTTTTAAAATGCTTTCTGTGCAAGCCTTTAATAGTAATTCAAGGTCTCAAGATCCTTCGCCCTAAAGACATGACTCTCCACCCATGAGGAAAAGACTTGAATCTCCTCCCTTTGAATTTCCAGTGTCAACCTCCGAATCATGATTTAAGCCCTGGCATCTGGCCCTCTTCAATTCAAATATTAGCAAATCCAAGCTAGAAAGCTTTAGTAGGAATCTGAAATCACAGCCAATGGCCTTGGAAAGCCAACTAGATTAAATTTTCCCCAACAAAGTTTACAAAGTCCTGTCTCTGCAGATTTGAAGGAAACTAATGTCTTTTGGGGTAGAGTGGGGTGAATTGTGTGAAGATAAAATGATAGGCTAGATCAGATGTGGACGGAGTTTCCAGGCAGCCTCATGTAGCTGAGGGGACCCAGGTAGAAGAGGGAAGTTCACAGCTCTGTGGTGCTGTGGCCCCCCTCCTTGGCACCGTCCCCTCTCCCCTCCCCTGCCATGTCTTGGCCATGAGAAGGGAGCAGATGGAAGAGAGTTGCTGATGGGGGGACAGTGACAGCTTCCCCCATTTCATTCCAATGAGGCTGAACCAAGGCAAGTGGCTGGCATGGCCAGAGGGTGCCTTGGCATACCTCCACCTGGCACACCTGGTAAGGGCTGCCTGTACCTGGCCAAGACAGTTCCATAGGGCCTTCCTATATTTATATTATATGATATGTTTACAGAAAGCCAATGTTGAAGAAAATCAGCAAGATTTGATAGACTTGGTGTTATCTTTGGAGGGCTGGAGATCAGCTGCTAAATTAGCTGTCATAAATATATGACAGGCCTCACTTTCTAAATCAGATCAATTTCAGGAGGTTGAAGTCCAGAGAGAGATTCCATTTACCCCACAAATCATCATACTCCATTCTCTTGAGGACTGCATTCCAAGTCTTGCAAGGGACATCTGTGCAGCAAATTTATAGTCTCCACTTCCAGCTTCAAGGGGTGGCAGTTTCAATTAAGGAAAGCTATAACGTTTACCATCAAATTGGTGTCTGGTTTTGCTTTGAGTAGACAGCCTATAAGAGAGAGCGAGTGGAGGAAGTTTATTTCCTTCTGTTCTCCTGCAGCCCCTGCTATAAGGCACATCAGAGCAGCAAAAATGAAGCGTGGAGTCTGGGCAATAAAAAAATTAACCACCCCTTTGCCTGGATTTGGAGCTCTGATGGTGCAGTGGTTAAGAGCTTGGCTACCAACCAAAAGATTGGTAGTTTGAACCAGCAACTCCTTGGAAACCCTATGGGGCAGCTCTACTTTGTCATATAAGGTTGCTGTGAGTTGGAATTGACTCGATGGCAACCAGTTTGGTTTTTTTGGTGTGCCTGGATTTAGCAGGTTACAACCTTCCCACTTTGTTAACCAGAACAGGTAGCAAAAAGCAGCAGAAAAGGTGGATTAAGAAGGGGGAATGGCTAATAAGAATTCAAAGAGCAGACTGCTTTACAGCCTCTGGGAGGAGAGGATTCAGCTTTATCATTCAAGAGAATGAGAAAGCAGGAAGCCACTGCGTGCACAGTTTCTCTTAGTTCTCTCCCCAGCCTCTGCTCACACACTGGCATCAAAGGGCTGCTCTCAATATGGGCAGGACCCATGCAGCCACTGTGGAAAGTTTCAGCTGACAAAGACTGAGACAGAATTAAAAAATGGTGGATTTCCTACACCGCTCGGCTACTAACTGAAAGGTTGGCGGTTTGAACCTACCCAGTGGTGCTGTAGAAGAAAGATCTGACAATCTTCTCCCATAAAGATTGCAGCCAAGAAAATCCTACGGAGCTCAGTTCTACTGTGTAACACATGGGGTCTCCATGAGTCAGAATTGACTCAATGGCAATGGGTTTAGTTTTTTGTTATGTTTATCCTGAGGGGGGAGTCCCTGGGTGGTGCCAACAGTTAATACCCTCAGCTGCTAACTGAAGGGGTGGCAGTTTGAACCCACCCAGAGGCGCTTCGGAAGAAAGTCCTGGCTATCTACTTCTGAAAAAATCAGCCATTGGACACCCTATGGAGCACCGTTCTACTCTGACACTCATGGGGTCACCATGGGTCAGAATTGACTCTATGGCAAATGGTACTGGTTTATCCTGCTCTTAAAAAACCCCAGTGTATCATATTCCAGGATGTGCATTTTCTTGTTGACAGAGCAGTGCCTGGCCCCCTCCTCTGTTGCTCCCCCAAAGTGAAGGATTTGTAGGGGGCAGTGGTATCTGAGTGGGATACACGCTCGCCCCCCAGTGGACATGCCCGGATGCCACCCCTGCAGCTGGGCCTCTGCCACCCACCTGCATGCCGCAGATGCGTACGCCCAGGCAGGCCGAGGTGCTCTGTGCGCACTTCCTCATGTGGCGGGCCTTCTTCTCCTCGGACACGTCATCCCCGTGCTGCCGCGTCCCCATCTTCAGGTCCAAGATGCAGGGATACTTGTACTGTGACACCACATTTTCCAGCAACAAGAACCCTTGTCACGCTAAGTTAAGGAAGGTTCCAAGGACATAAATGCTGCTGCCTCCCAGGAGGCTGCCATCATGCCTTGGAAGATGCTCTGGAAATTCCCTGCTCAGAATTCCCTTCACTCCCATTTCTTCCATTACAGACAAGCCCATTGCTGCTATTAAGAATTCAAGGTACAGTATTAACTTTGCAGGCTGCTTTAATAAGTTCATTTATTTATGGGGAGTTTATGAGTATGCAAGGTTTTTTTCCTTTTCTTTTTTGCTGTTAGGTTGGAATTAAATGCAGGTGTGAAATCCCTGTCAGGCCCTGCCCAATTTACATTTTATGGCAGAAAATCATAAGGCTAAAACCTCAAGTCACTGAATGGGCCAATACCTTTTGGGAGAAGTGGGTTGATGTTAGCTTCGGAGATGAGTTGCAGGAATATTAATTTCGGCAGACTAATTATCCTGTAAAAGCTTCTTAGGGATTAGGGTTGCAGATGTGTCTTAGTAAATGCTGTGAAACCAGCCACCCATTTGCAGGAGGGAGCCCGGCGGTGATGAAGGGACATTTCAAGCCTACATTGAGAATGTGGCAGCCTGCAGGTGAGGGGGTTTACCTCCCTGCATACTGCACTCCGTGGGAGCTTCCCTAAGGAGGAACCATCCTCTCGGGAAGGTGCCTGCAGGGAGAATTTGGAAGGATAGAAGGGAGGCCAGGGTTGGGGTGGGGGACCCAGTGAGCCCTCTGGGCCCCTGCTGTCCCCATCCAGGGTGGCAGCAATCATTCCTGTGTGCCCACAGAGACCCTCAGCCCAGCCTTACTGCCCAGGTGGCAGAGACACAGCCATTGGCCCTTCTAGGGGCCCTGTGTTTGGCTTAATTCCCATTGTGATGCTCAGATCCTGGTTTTTCTTTTGGAGGGATCTGATTTCTTCTAGTTCCCAGGTTTTAGGGCTTCTGCCCTCAAACTCTCTCTCACATCTATCTCTCCCTGTCTCCTCCTCCGGCAGTCCTGTGTGTGTATATGTGTGTGTGTCTGTCTGTCTGTCTTTCTCTCCCCCCATTTGTCTGTCTCTTTCAGTCTGTCTGTCTCCTCCTTCACCCTCTCTGTCACCACTGGGTGGGTCTTTTTGTCCCTCAGGCCACGTACAGTAGGGAGGGCAGGCAAGGATACGGTGCCGCTTGTTCTCTGGGTGCTCGGAGCACAGGCGGGTCAGGTGGGCCTGGTGGCAGTGCAGGCCCCACGGGTTGAAGTTCCTCCTCTCAGCCTGTTTCCCACTGGCATCTTCCACTGGTGAAGGGACTTCAGTGCTGAAATGGAACTCAGACTTCAGGAGCGCCTTGGCGGGGCTGGTGAGGGAAGCACAGGGCTATCAGGGAAGCCGTGGGTCAGAGGTGACTGGCTGAGCTCTCCTGGGATGCCTTCTGATGCAGGCTGCCCCAGAGGGTCTCCCGAGGGTTTTCACCAGGCTGCCTGGAGATGCCTGCAAGGCCTTGGAGGGACTCCCCACCCAACTTACATCCCCTGAGCCAGACACACCACACTGCAGCCCTTTGGGGCGGTTTCTCTAAACCTCAGAATAATTTATTAGAGTATGTCACCCCTTCAGAGGGCTGAGGTGGTTTAAATTCACTTTTGAGTGATCTGGATTTATTATCTTACTCTTGAGGTGACACAGTATGAGGGCAGCCACCACTCCACCCCCAATCCCTGGGAATCAGAGGGCTAGAGTTTTAGGCTCTGTTACTCTGGCATGTGGTTACCCTCTCTGTACCTCAGTCCCCTTATCTATGAAATGGAGTAACAAGGCCAGATCTACCTTTCCCTTCCCCATCCCCCAAAGGATTACTGTGAGAACCACGTAAATCAACGGATGTAATTCCTCTTTGAGACCTCAGAATGCCGCAGAGGGTGGGCGTGGGGACTGTGGGAGTCAGCAAGCCTTGGCCCACCCCCCTCTTCTGCCCTCTCTGCATCTTGGCTTCCCCATCTGTGAAATGGAGATAATGTGCACCAGCTTCCTGATGTGGAACCAAGAGGCTTAATTAGATATGCTGTGCTCCTTAGGGAAAGGAGGTATTTTCATTGTATTAGCTCCCTTTTGTTTCCCATAAATATTTCAAAAGTCCCAGGGGAGGCTTTTCATCTGAGAAAGGTCAGGCTGCATTTTCAGAGTTTTTGACGACCTCTCCAAGGACCTCTGGTGCCCTGAGCCTCCTGCAAGTCACGAGCCCTTCGAGCGCCTTGTTAACCACTCTCCTGGGGCTGTCCTGGCAGCCAAGGAGAAAGGTGACTTCTGAGAGAAATCAGCCCACTTTTTCCTTTATATAAACTATTCTAGGGTTTCTGCTCTGCACGTCTTTCCCCCCAGAGACGCTTCACAGTCTCAGTGAAACAGGTATTTAATTAAACAAATATGTACCGAATACCTGCCTTCGCATCAACTTCGGAGATAAAATACATCATAATCCCTCCCTCTAGAAGTGGTATAAAAGAAAACTCATTCCTTTCTTGGGTCACGTTGGTGATTCTAGACAGAACCTCCATCTGAATTTCTCATTTCCTTGGCTCCAGCCCTAATTGGGAGCTGCCAGCCCTAGGCGCAGGTGGGTGCCACGCTGGTCCCTATCAGCCTGCCGAGGGGCCCTCACCTCTCCTTGAGTGAGCGCGCCAGCTGGGCATGCTGCCACTGGGCGAGGGGGTGGGTACCACCGCCGATGCTACTGGTGGTCTGCTGGAGCGTCTGCCATATTGCTACCGCCGCCGACTCAGTGGAGACCTTGAAGGGCCCCTGGTTCTCCTTCAGTGGGTTGGCAACCAGGCTGAGGTGGCCCCTGCTGTCTCTCCGGAGGTATACGGTGATGGTGCCTGCAAAACACGAAGGGAGGGGGAGAGATGGGGGGTTTACTTCCTGGTGACAGGAGGCAGTGGGTTATATCATTGTGAATTGTAGTTTAATGACACTGTCACCTCTTCCCCCTCCCCCAGCTCCTCTCTCAGAAGAGCTATGGCAACTGGCCTGGTTTAACCTGAACCCCATCTTGTACCAGAAAGAGCCCAGAGCCAACTCAAGAATCTACAGAAAATAGCCTTGGGCTAATCTTGGCACTGCCTCCACTTTATCCCACTTCCCTGCCCCTTCATACTTCAAACAAAGCCAATCCTGTACATTTTGTTCCTGCATTTTGGTTCCTCTGCACAGTCACACCTTCCCAGGCACGCCACAGCCAACCAAACTGTGCTCAACCTTGGAGCGGCAGGGTTGCTGGTCCTCTGTGAGGAGGGACTCCATCTGGTGTGCTGGTGAGGGTCAGGGCAGGAAGGGTGAGGGGTGTGCCTGCAGAGTGGCAGTCAGGGAAGTTGGGGCCCGTCCCCTTCCCCTTTGCCTCCTCTGTCATCCTTTCTCCCCCCTCCATATATCTTTACTAACCAGTGTCTTCCAGGGAGACTTCCTCAGACAGCCTTCTGGGGATCAGGCCTCTCAGTTGCCCATTCATTTACCTCCCTGTCTAGTTTTAACACTAATACTGGGCCATTTCCTTTGGTTAGACACCTCAGCACGTGAAGATGGTTCTTTGATATGAAGCTAAGACTTGTGAAATTTCCCCAACTGATGTTACCTCCTAACCTTCAAGGTTTGTAATCAAGGCACAACATCCTACTCCAATCACTGGTTATGAAAGAGTACATGGAAACTCATTTAACAAACATGTTAATTGGTCTTCTTCTCTGGGACATTGGCCAGGTTGGTAATTAGCTCCGTCATCTACATCAGTGCTTCTGTGGTCACTCTCCTTAGACTTTGTGCTCCAGTGGCAGAGCCCAGGCCTTCCTCCATGAGATGTGGTACCCAGTGGGTGCCCGGCTTCCCCAGAGTTCTGCTGGAGAGGGAACCATACTCTTGGTAGTGGCACAGGAGACAGCTACACAGATGGTTTTATGAGAACCCATGTCTCTAGAGCACTTGGCTCCCTGTTTGTCCTGTAACTGATGCTGTGTGTATTCTGTTTGCTTCCTCACCCCCACAATCCACAATCCACTGTCCACCTTGCTCCAAGTCTGAGAGGCTGACCCTATGCTGTGTACCAATGGGCTTTCTTGCTCTCTAGTTTCCCAATGAGTTCCCAGTGGGAGGCACTGGCAGAAGATGAAGGTTGGGAGGAGAAACGTTGGGGTATTTATTCCACTGGTTCTTCCCTGTTTGCCATGGTTCTGGTCATGGCTGTGTTCACTGATGGCCTCAACTGTCACTGGGCTCAGGCCTAGGGGTGGTAACAGCTTCCCAGTGTTGCTAGTCCCTGGGTGTCGTACCATCCCTTGTTCCCTTAATCCTGCATTCACTTTTGCAAACACTCCATTTAAACTCACTTCAGTTAAACCCCTTTGAATGTACCATTCCTTTCCTGCTGGGACCCTGGCTGGGGGTGGGGGTGGGGGTGGGGGAGGCTGTATGTGACTATGTTCTCCAAGGTATTTTTCTCCTCTTCCCACCCAGTGCTCAGGGAACCCAGGCCCTTAGCAGCTTCTTAAAACCACCCTTGAAGTCTTTGGGACGGCCACTTGGTCACCTTCTCAGAGCGAGTGGTCATTTCTGCTGAGCAAGCAGTAAAGGCATCTGATTTCCCTGCTTCCCTCCCCTCCCAGGCCTCCTGGGCTGGTCAGTGCAGACACTCATTTTTCAGGCTGCTCTATAATTCAGCAAACTGCTCTTCAGAGCCAGCCGTGCCTTGCTCTGCGGTCTCCCTGGGCCAGTCCTGTCATCTCAGATTCCCAGTGCCCTAATTTTGCAGCCTGAGAGTGACATTCAGTTCTCCCCAGCTCCTAAAAAACTTCTCCTCACCCCACCCCAGGCTCCTGTGTCCTGTGAAGTAATAACAATAATTACAACAATGCTCTACACCAGCCTGGCATTTTACAGTTTATCTGAACACCAGCTGTCATACCTAGGCCAATCCCACCATAGCTATTCTGCTCATCAGAGCAAGGGGCTGACAGCAGGTTTGGGAAATGATTGTAAGATTAATAGTAACTACCATGTCTCTAATGCCTACTATGTGCCAGCACTATTCTAGGTACTGTTCATTTGTTATTTCTAAGTTTTAACAGACCTGTAAGATAATTGACTGTGGACACTGAGACCCAGAGAGATTGAATAGCTTGCCCAAGTCCACACAGTTGGTAAGAGGATCACAGCAGACGTGGATATGAAAAGGAACAAGTTGTTACAGGGAACCCCTGACCAAGGACTCTTTGAGAGGGCCTAGTGTTATGTTTGTGTTTACCCTGCGAGTGGATGAGGAACACTCCTGTTGCGTCCCCTGTCACATTTGTTCTGGGTCATTCTGTTCCATGGGAGAGGACAGAGGAGCTACGACTCCCCCCTTTCATGAGGGGGTCATCAGCACAGAGTATTGGGAGCACCAAGAACGCAAGGACAAGGTATTTACATTTCCAGCCATTTCCTCAGACAGGAGAGTTGTTGTGCCTGTTCCAGGGAGGAGGACTGACCTTCTGGAAACCAAAACCAGGTCTCAGAGCCAATCCCTCCAGGTGCAAGAAGGGGAGAGCTCACTGGCCCCCATGCTTGTCTTTGGGGAGCTCGGAGGCCTCCTGACTGCCCAGGGAGCCTGGCAGGTGTGTTGGCCAAGGGCAGGGCCTTTTCCGATCTTTAGAGTTCAAGTCCCATGGCCTTTCGACTTGTACAATTAATTACTGTAAGGTTACGATGACAGGCCCATCCAAAACCACGGTGTTGGGGCGCCCCAGACCCAGGAGGCCTCCCGGGAGGGACAAGAGATGTGACCTTCTTCAGCATCTCCAGGCTCCAGCTCTTGTCTAATCTCATCAGTTCTGAGTGTCTGAATAAATGGAGGAGAGCAGAGGTGCAAATAACCCAAAACCAATAAAATCCAAAGTCATTTCTATTCTTCATATTGTCAGAGCTGCACAGCCAGACTCTGTCCCTGCCTTGTCTCTGTCTCTCTCTGTGCCTCCAAGTGTCCCTGTGTCTGTCTCTCTCTCTCACATGCACACCCCTCTATGGCTCAGCTCAGCCCTTCCCTCCAAAGCCTGGGACCTACTGAGTGGGACCCAGGGCAAACCACCCCCTGCAAATAGTCTCAAGTCACCCACCCTTGACAAAAGCCACATGTCACTGGGATCCAGACAGCCTCAGTGCTTGGATTAATCATTTAAGAGCCATGTTGTCTCCATCCTGGCCTCCAGCCTACCCCGTGTGTCCCATTGTCTGTGGGGAAGGGGCCTCAAGGCCTATGGGATCCCGGCACTTGCTGCCGCTGACTGATCAGGAGAGTGGGGGCCCAGCCAGAGCGCCCATCTGTCTGCTCACCAGCCCCCCCACCCCCAACACCTCAACCCAGACTAGAGCGCTTACTGCCACAGTTGGCATGCCCAGAACATCTCAGCAATTTCGGTTTGGCGGAGCAGTTTCCCGCGCCTCTGTGAATATTCCATCATGTATTTATTTTTAAACTTGCGAGAGCATTTACTTGCCACCGTCTGTAATATGAATCTGGCTCAGCTGTTAACCAACTGGACCTTGGAGTATGTCCTCATGCTCCCAGGCAAACCGGGAGGCAGAGGAACCCAGCCCCCAGATGCTGTCATTTCTTAGGAGCCCAGCAAAAGGCCCAGCATGAGATTCTGACAATGGAATGGCGTCCCTGCCCAGTGTTCTCCCCGATACCATCGTGGTGCAGGGTGGCGAGGAGGGAGAGGGTGTGCCCTGTTGCGTGCTGTGGTCCCTTCAGAAACTGCACTTCTCTTTGGGGGGCTATCCCTGTTGGGGAGGAAAAGGGAGACCCCCGTGGCAGCCTCGTGAGCATTCTAGTCTCCCTGACCTGAGGTTATTAACCAGGTAACCTAGGGAAAGTCACGTCTCCTCCCTCATTAGGCTAGATGAACCTCTGAGCACTGATGTCACAGGAATACATCTCTTCAGTAACTGTGTAGCTGGCAGCGGGGGAGCCTGTGTGGCCAAAAGCCCCTACTCTGGAACCAGACTCCTGGGTTTGAATCCTGGCTCCACCTCTCTGGCTGTGGCCTCAGGCAAGTCAGGAAATCTCTCTGTGCCTCAGTTTCCTCATCTATAAGATGGGGCTAATAATCGTACCTACCTCTGAGAGTTGTTGTGAGGATTATGTGAATTAGTACATGGTAACTATTGACAGTAGCGTCTGACACAGACTAAGGACTAAGGGTTAGCGGAGGATACTACTTACCAGGCAAAACAAGAAGCCTGAACAGCCTGAGAGCCCTTTGGGGACCCTTTCTCTTTCCCACCTGAAACTTGACTCCAGTTCCTCTCCTCCTGCCTCTCCCCAGGTGTCTGGGAATAGTGAGGGTACTAGTTCTAGGCCTTTGTCTAACCTATTAAAAAACCTCATTGCTGTCAAGTCAATTCCGACTCATAGCGGCCCTATAGGACAGAGTAGAACTGCCTCATAGCGTTTCCAAGACTGTAAATCTTTATGGAAGCAGACTGCCGCATCTTTCTCCTGTGGGGCGGCTGGTGGGTTTGAACTGCTGACCTTTCAGTTAGAAGTCAAGGGCTTAACCATTGTGCCACCAGGGCTTCTTTCTCTAGTTCTCTTAAATGTGCATAATTTGTTAGTTGATCCCTGGACAATGGTACCACACAAATCATGTTCTAGTCAGTGAATCGGCATTTCTTCTTCATTAAAACCTCCCACTTGGGCATCTGCCTCACCTACCCCACCTGTGGGCTCTGCCTCGCCTTCACCGCAGGTGGGGTAGGTGGTCAACTGTATAGGCTCATCTGAGGGTGCCATGAGGGGCCCTGACCCAGTTCCTTCCCTCCTGGCTTAGAAACGCCATCTCCTGTGTGAAGCCCCTGCACGAAGGTAGCTGGTGGAGCATATCTGTAGGCGGTGATACTTTAGTTATGACATCTTGGCTCAAATTAATTTACTGAGTTAGCAGAGCCCTGAGGGGGTGGCATCCAGGAGGGGAAAGAGGGTAGAGGGAGCGGAGGTCTAGATGGTACCCCCAGAGAATCATGGGCTCTGTGGAGACAGGGAGTGGGGCTGAGCATCTGTCCAGCATCTGTCCTTAGAAGACTGGCCCAGCCTCTCTGACTTGCCTGCTTTGCCTGCGGCTGCCCTGGCCATCTCTCTCAGCTACAGAGCTGTGTCTAACAAGTGTGAAATAGTACTGGCAGGAGGCCGCCCCACGTGAGGTCCTGCCACCCCTTTGCTGGGTTGAGTTCAGCCACGAAAGGACAGGCATTAATTCCAGTGGGTGCTCTGACAAGATGGGCAGTGACCCACAACTAACCAGGCAACACTCAGCTTGTGGACCCAAAGGGCCCCAGGGGGAGATCAGAGCTGGGGGATGGAAGAGGGCTGCACAGCGGCACACTGACGGTCCTCCCCGTCTCTTGAGAAAAGAGGAGAGCCTTAGACCTGTGTATGGTGCTGATGGATCTTGTCTCAGATGCTCTAGAGGACCTTGCAGGTGGGACTGAGGTTCAGGCATGTGTGAAACAGTGCTTGGAAGCAAGGCCCGAGACTCAAGGCCTTGGCCACCCCTACCAGTGGTTCCCAGTCGGGGGCATACTAAATACAGAGTCCTGAGCCCTGCCACCAGTGGTTTTGATTCAGAAGGTCTGGAGTAGGGCCTAAGAGCCTGCATTTGAACACACACACACACACACACACACACACGCACACACACACGCCCCAGTGATAAGTGATTCTGGCATAGTTGTTAACCTCCAGATCACACTTGCAGAAACATTGATATAGCTAAGTCCCATCCTTCCCAGTTATTACTGAGTGAGTTTCTGACAGACTTATTTTGATATTATCATTAACTGCACTACAGATACTTGGACCAAGAGGGCAGAAGCTCACAGCCATGAAGTCTAAAATCCTTCAAACAATACCTTTCCGCTGAGCCCTCATCCCATCTCTGGGACTGGCCTCCTGGCAGTCACACCCTGAGCCTGGTGAACCTCACATACCGAAGGCTGGGCGTGGGTGAAACAGCCTGCACCGGGATCTGGAGGCATCTGTAGTTCTCCTGCATGGAGGACTCCTGGCCAAGGGTGTGACAAGGCCAGGGCAACGCTGGCTGGACTTGATGAACCCTTGATTAACCCTTTAATTGATCACCCCCTCGGGGTTCTGCTAACTCGATAAATTATTTGAGCCAAGGTGTCATAACTAAAGTGCCAACACCTAGAGGGTTGTTCTACCATCTGCCTTCGGAGCTTCACATAGGAAGTGGTGTTTCTAAGCCAGGAGGGAGGGAACTGGGTCAGGGCCTCTCATGACACCCTCAGATGAGCCTACATAGCTGACCACCTACCCCACCTGTGGTGAGGGTGAGGCAGAGCCCATGAGCTGGGGTGATGCTCAAGTGGGGGGCTTTAATGAAGCCCTCTGTCCCCAGAACCCATCTTGTGCTCAGATGCAGACCACACACTAGTGTGCACAGAAGTTTCCCTAGCTATACCTAGAAGGCAGCCCATTCCCCCAGCTTTGCCTTTTCCTGCGTAAGGGTGGGGATTCTGTTTTCCTAAACCAGCTGCTGTCATCTCTTTCATGTCCTGTCCCGGGCCTGGGCCTCCTGAGGGAGGTTAAGGGGCCCTCCACCTGTCCTGTGTTTACCAGCTGCGGTCAGGTGACCTGGCCATGACACCTCCATGGCACAGACCCAGAAAGCTCATCAGGATGGGCTCAGGCTGGGGTATCATTCTATTCCATTCTCAATTCCTCAAAGCCTGGCGGCTTGAGCTAATTTTTAAGAAAGCCAAATGGCATTCAACTCCAGACCTGGAGGCTTGAGTTAAGAGCAGCGAGGACAATTAAGGCCATTGCTGCTGCAGGAGAGGGGTATGTCTCCATGGCACCTCTACACGCAATGAGCAGTAAGGAAGCAGTGGGTGTGTGCAGACAAGCCCTGCCAAGTGTGACACACCCAGCGCGGCCTGGTTCCTGGAGACTCACCTTTGTACTGAGGGGTGAACCGCTTCATGGCCAGCGGCAGGGACTCGTAGAACTTCTGCTCTTGGGAGATGAGGGGCTTGCACACGGTATGTTCATCGTATTGCATCATGCTCAGGTGCCCTCCAACCTGGTGCAGGAAAGGCTCCAGCCGCACGCCCATTCTTCCGTCCCCAGCATCCATGCTGTCCTGTACGACCATGGCGAGGCACACTGAGTGGGGCACCCAGCGCAGTCTGCGTGAGGAAGGCACGAGGGGAAGTAGCAGCTCTTGGACACAACTTGGGGCTGTCAGCGGTCCTCAGCTTTCTCCTTCTTGGCCTTTATCGCTGTCTTAGCACAGTGATTTCCCGTCTGCGGGCTCTCACTGGGGACCTCTGGAAAGCAGAGGAGGAAGGTGGAAATCACATGAGGCAGGTGGTGTGCTGGGAAGGCAGCTGTGGAAGGACCCACACAACCCCAGCCACTGCCTGGAGTAGGGTCTTCACCGGTAGTTAAACACGAGTATAAATATGCATTGATTACTTCTGGAATAATCTGTTATAGGAAACTGGTAACAGTGGTTGCCTCAGGGGAGCAGGGGTGAGAGAGAGGCTTTTCATAAAATACCATCTTGTACCTTTTGAATTTAAATATTGAAACATCTAAAAAAATCAATACACACAGCTGTACGTTCCTCAAGTGCAGAGGCTGTGTCTTAACTGCTCTTGTCATTTCTCCTTCCTCCCTTTGGGAACATCCAGCCCAGGCCCAACAAGAAGAAAGCAGTCCCTGCCTTTGGGGTACTCACTGTCTTGAGGGAGATTGGGGGATAGGGAGGCTTTATTTTCGTGCAGTACAACTGTTGCAGCATCTGTTTGCTTCATGGCTCCTCTACATAATTGCTGTGTGATCTTGGGCAAATGACTAAACCTCTCTGGGTCTCAGTTTCCTCATCTGTGGAGCAGAATAATAATGATAATGGAGCTATTGCAGACAAAATTGAGATAAGGCCTATAAAGCAGTCAGCCCAGTGTCCAGAACAAAGGGCTCAATCTATGTGATTTACCATTATTTTTAGCATTATTGTCATGGTGGTCAGATTCTCACAACAGCTCTGGGCCGTAGGAAAGGCAGGCTTTATAGCACCACCACTTTGCAAATGAGGAAACTGAGGCCTGAGATGACTTGCTCAGGGTCCTTGGCTGTCTAGGAGGAGAGCCGGAAGTAAAGTAGGGGTCTCTTCATCCTCCAGGACAGGTCCTCCTCCTCCACCTGCCGCTCCTGTTATCCCCCTCAGGGTGGCTCTGCCAGATCGCAAGCTTAGACTGGAACTCTGGGCTGGACATGCAGCTCCTAGGGATGTCCTGACTTTGTTTCAGGAGAATACCCAGGAGACTCTTCTTGCCCAGCTCATCCCATGTGAGAGGACACCCTCACAGCAGTGCCCATCACCACCAAGTTATTAATACTCTCTCCCTCTATTGGACTCTTGGCCAAGGATTCTACCAGGCCAGGGCAGCGCTGGGCTTGATTAACCCTCTAATTGACCCTCAGTCCAGGCTCCGGGCACAGGCGGCTGGCTCCACATGCAGCGGTGTCCGTCAGTGTGCTCAGGACCTGGCTCACCCGCCTGGGCCTCAGCATGCTGTAGCATTGAAAGCTTCAGCCTGGCCCTGTCATTCCCCAACACGTGGGGCCTCTCCCACATCAGCTCCTGTCCTGCAGACTCACAGTGTCCCTTATAGGAAGGGGAAGGGCAGGGTGAAGGCTTCTAAAAGGCACCTGCATGGCTGGAATGTGATGGGGGAGTTTGAGGTTGCTGAGGTGAGGCCCTAGGGTGGGAAGGACGGAGGTATAATGGTGAGTGGCTGTGCCTGAGAGGAGAACCTAGGCCTTCCCCCAGCTCTGCTCCAACGCAGCAGAGTGAGCCCCACTGGGAGCCTGCTCCTGGAGCTGAGAAAAGAAGTTGGTGGGAGGTATCTAGACACAGAGAGAAACCAGCCCATGGATGAGTTGATATCTTCAGTCCCCTTTGGTTATTGGGCAAGATATCACAGTTGTTTGGAAACCCAATCCTACTTGCAAATTTGGAGACAGCAAGAAGGAAGAGAGAAGAGAAAACCCAAGATGAGCATCCCAACACCTCTCCTGTCTCTGGGCTCACTTGCATGCTGCCCTTTGCCAGTGATCTGTCTCTGGGGGGAGGAAGGCAGAGGCACTTCTGGTAACCAGTCTGTAAAATTCATTTATAGCCAGTCCTGGAAGGAGCTCACGACCTCGTCCCTCACACATGCTCCCCAGGCCTGGCCCAGCACTAACCAGACATGGGCTCCCGGATGCAAGCTTAGCTCTGCCAACTGGTCCACGTGCTGTCCCAGGCAGGCCCTCATGCTGCCTTTTTTTTCCTCCATGCTCCTGTCTCCCCAAGGAGCTCTAAGGACATGAGTGTCACCTCACAGTAGCAACATGGATGAGAAATAATAAATAGTAGCAAACACATAGTGCTTGCTGCATGCCTGGCAATATTCCAAGTACTTTATACAGATTAACCTATTTTAAGCCTCGCAACTACCCTATGAGATAGGGTATCAACCCCATTTTACAGATGAGGAATCTGAGGCACAGAAAGGTTAAGTAATTTGCCTATGCACTCAGCTGGTTTGAAGAGAGCAGGGATTTGAACTCAGGTACATTAGCTCCAGAGTTTGTGTGTTCACTTGCCATACTGCAGGGATACGGAGGGCTGGTGTCTACTTTGAAGGTCAGGAAAATTGAGCCCCAAGGAAGCTGGGACTTGATCAAAGCCATCTGCAAGTCACTGGCAGCACTGGAACGGGGACTCAAGTTTTCCTGTTCCCCAGGCCTGGCCTCTCCTACCCTGACAACCCTGTGGCCCACCCTCCCTACTCGATGACAGTAAGTGCATGTCCTGGTGGCTGTTGGGCTGGAGTGGGGAGAGTGTCACTCCCACATGTCTGTGGAAGCTATCTCAAGGGGTCAGGAGGGAGGCCCACCTGCAGCTAGGGCTTGGTATTGACCTGCTCTGGGGCTTTCTGGCTGGGATGTCAGCCAGACCCGAGAGATGCTGTTATTCCTAGCATCAACTTGGTTCCTGCTGCAACCTTGTGATGTTTTCCCTACCTCCACTCCTGGACATTCTCAGGAGCCCAGGCTGTATCTTCTCAGAGAGTGCAAAGCAAGCTAGGAAGACCACTGGGCCTCCAAGACAGCCCACGACACAGTAATGCAAACTCTCCTGTCCCTAGACTTCGGGTGGATTGGCAGTAATTGGGTATTTACCGGGCAGCCAGCCTGTACTTTTTAAAAATCTGGGCTTGGCAGCTGGGGAAACTGAGGCCCTTTCTCTCAAGGGTCATCTGAGGGGGTAGATTAGGTGGAATCTGAGGGTCCTCCTGCTCCTGAGCTGTGTGGTCTACGATTCTGGCAGAGGCTGGTAGGGCGGGTGGCCTTAGCAGCTAGACACGGTCCTGAGCTGGGCAGCATGGGCTTTGCCTGTGTCTTCCTCTTGGTACTGATGCTGACCTTGGACCCCTAAAGAAGCTGGAGGTTTCTGTCTGTGGCTGTCTTTGTGTGTGGTCTCCAGCTCTGTGGGGCTGGGCTAGGGAAGGCCTCCGTTCTTCCCATTTCTCCCATGGAAGTCCCATAAATAATTCAAGTTGACAGGACTTTTCTCAGCCCAGACTTTCCTTTTGCCACATGCAGGCTCTTCTGTCATCAGCATGGCCTTGGCCTTTGACAAGTCTCTGTGCCCTGTTCTGATTCCTAAGAGCCCAGGGTCTGTCCCACGCATCCTCACCTGCTCGCTGAGGCACCTAAGATGAATTGGGTCACCACCACTCTGAGCCTTGGTTTACCACCCACCGTTACAGCCTTGTCACGATGCTCAGGTGTAAACATGCCCAGGATCCTTTGTAGAGTCCTCTTCCCAAGAGTTCCCACCACTTGAGGCTTTTGTCACTGCATAGGTTATTCTCAGAACCAACTCCCATGAGTCAGCTTGGTGGCTGGGAAGGCAGGTGAGGCGCTCGCCTGAGACAGGGCTCACGCCTCCATCCTGACATGCTTACTGAATACCCTGGGCTCCCCTTAGTGCTTCCAAGAGAGACAAATGTCCTTCTCTGCAGCCCACGCCTCTTCCCACAGCCCCATGGCCACGCCCTTGCCCAGCATCCTTCCCTAGCACTCCTTGGGGAGGCATACGAGGGAGTAGGGAGGAGGGAAGGGGGCAAGATGCCCCAGCCAGGAGAGCTCAGCATAGAGGTCCAGCAAGAGTGGACAAATGGCCCCAGGCCCCTGCATCCTCCTGCCCTGTCACTGGGTCATGTCCTGAATCAAACCACTCTGGGCCCCACTCCAGGAGATTCAAGGGCTGATTTCTGCTGATGGGGCCTGGCTGTGGAGCAGAGCTGTTAAATGAGGCCCTGGGTTGTCTGTGTCAGAACAAATCCTCTCTGCAGCCCTGTGGGGCCTGAATGACAGCAAGTCTGCCTCTGGGTTGCAAGATACTCCCTGGTCTGAAAGGGATGTCACAGATAGCAGGGCCTGTGGTTGTATTTGGCTCCCAGAGTGGGGACAGATGACAATACCAGTGATTCTAAGAACCCTAGACCTCACTGTGCTAAACACAATGATAGATGCCACCCATCAAGTGGAGGTGGATGAGGGCATAGTAACTTGTTACTCACAGTTGGCACATTTTATTTCCTGAGAGCCTTTGTATATGTAACCTCTACCTGCATGCTAAATCTGAATCTGTTAAAAATCACAGACGATACACCTCTTTTAGAACTCACCACTCCCATCTTAGGAAAAGATGACAGATAAAACCACAAATCAAACTTATAAGGGTTCAAACTTGAAATAAATTAGTCATGGACTAATTAGTCATGGAGTCTATCTTACCAGGCCAGGTAGCTTCTTATATCGGGAAACAAACCAGCCTTGTCACGGGTGAGGCCACTGTGGTTGTCGCCAAAACCGTTCACAAATATAGTTTTCCCCGCGGGCACGAGGTACAATTGTACTCCTTTTCCCTTTGAAGGTAAGTGTGGCCACATGAGTTGCTTTGGCCAATATAATGTGGATGGGAGTGACATGTGCCATTTGGGGTGGAAGCTTTAAGAACAGTTCCCCACATCCCCTTCCTCCTGCCATGGTGATCTTGGAATCAAGTGTTGAGATGAAGCCTCTGTCAGCCTGGGTCCCTGAGTGACTATACTTGTTGCATATGTAGCAAGAGACAGAAGTAAGTCTTTACTATAGTGGGCCACTGAGATTGGGGGTCATTTGTTATGCAGCACAATTTAGCCCATCCTGACTAATTTACCAGCTCACAGCCAAATACCCAATGTGAGGCCCTTAAGTTGAAAGAAACTTCACTTGAGTCAGGCACTCAAATATTTCATTGCACAAATATATCCTCTATA